CCATTTATACACCTGGGTGGAGAGAGGCACTGTGAGAGTAAAGTGTCTTGCCCAAGAACACAACACAATGTCCCGGCCAGGGCTCGAACCCGGACCGTGGAGGGGGGAGTTAGAAAATATCATCTTGTCGTTTGTTAGAATTCAGAAAGTGATAATTTCTCAGCAACATCAAGAGTTAATGTTTATTTAATTGTTTCCACTAACTGCGCCCCACTTTGCAATGCATACTGTTTGTATGACAAAATGATGGAACCTGTGAAAAGGGGAGAATTTCTTCCCAAACTGTAGAAAAACGCGGCTTTAGGAGAGACGGTTATTTAACAAACAGGTTGAAGGTGTGTTTCATAATTAAAGTCAGATGTATTAGCAGTGGAGGTATAGGGCTATAGGTTTAAAAGGAGAAACATTTTCAACCTGATTACGTTGTAACCGATCCCTCTTGAACTTCTACCTTAGAAGAGGATGAACAGAGAGGAAATGGAGGATACGTAACACATGTTCAGACTCAATCAATACACTGTACATGCTATCTCTCGTACCTCTCTTTTAATGTCGATCTGAGAATCTTGTGATACATTGAGACCGAGTTGATGATTTGATTGATTCTCTTTACCTGTCTGTTTGACAGCTGGTTGGTATTGTATGGAGAATTTAGATGTCTTTTTACCACTGGGAATGAAGGGTTTGATTACAAGACTGCCGTGCTAGCTAATATTGAATTGCTCTTCATTGTGCAGGCCCGTACCAAGCATAAAATGACTGGGGGGGCTGAGCGAGTGGTCCCCATTAACTCCACCCCAGCTTCGGTTCCTCGGTTAAAACATACTTCTTGGTATATGTCAGATCACTACATTTGTCTCCAATACCTTTTGTTCTTGTCTCTAATTTTCCGTTTGTGTTGACTTTGACGAAATAGAGAACTTGTTTGGGATATCGTTCAGGGAAAATTTGCCAAACAATTGCTTTCTGTTTTCTTTCTCCCCAACGAAGTCATTAGCTACGTCCACAAGGGTCAGAGCATCTGTTCTGTCCCTCTAGTACAGTAGTATATTTTACACTGGCGGACCTCTTAGGAAACTAATAAAGTTCAAGAGGTCAAGTTCAGGGTTTGTCATTGGTGCATATCGATCCATTTTGCTTCTGTCTATTTTGATGAAAAATAAGCAGATATTTTAAAGTTTTTGGTTGTTTTTGGCGGAACAAAAATACGATTTTGTTCCTTAACGCAATTCCAAATTGCACAGAAGAACAACAGTACATAATCTTACCATGATCGACAATACTTTGAAACTGTAACTTCCATTGACAACTATCCATTTTAGTGGCAAAGTTCCACTTTTGTAGCAGAATTTAAGTCAAGTCTGAAAATTTCTGGGGGGGCTCGAGTCCCCCCCTGCCCCTCCCCCTGCTACGGGCCTGTTGTGTTGGCACAAAGCATGTTCTAATTCTTATCTGTTAATATTCACAGTCAAGAAGAGGAGAACCTAAAACATGAAGTGGCAATTAAACATCAAAACGCGCTGATGAATTACCAGAGACAATTGACTCGAAAAGATAATCAGATAGTTTTTAATAAGTAAGTACAAAGACCGTGATAAAGATGTCAACCTGACTAGTATTCAGTTTACAGTACACGCTGCTACAATCTCCAGACAGTAACGTAACGTACTAAATTTAACTTAGTTATATTATTCTACATCTTTTTTTTCACCATTGTCAATCATAACTCTCAAGAAATAACAACCTTATATTGCGAACATTTCCCCATACATACATATACTTTTTGGTAACGCAGGTCTGAATATGACAACCTTAGGGCTGGTGTGGATCTGCCATAAAATTCAACTAACCTTATATTTTACAAAGAACGAAAATCTTAAAAAATATTCAAAAAATCTGGGTTTTCGCCAAGCTCTTTTTTTTTTTTTACAAGTTCACTGTTATACCGTATTAGAGAAAAGTCCTCCATGCGTCTCAATTTGTACTCATTAACAGTGTTACCTATCCCAAGCAGGCATGTAAGTTGTTCAGGTAAGGTGTTATTGTACACCTGTTACACAGTGGAAGCGAGCCTCCCCCTCTATTCAGAAGTGTTGTAAAATTAATAGTATTTGAAATACGAAATGGAATACTAATCTCGGATGAGCTTAACAAAGGAAATCAAAAGAACCAACACACAAACCGAGAACTTAATTACATGGAAAACGCTCTTTGGTAAAGCGGTGAGAAGGAAAAGAGGCGTTAACTCGGTAAGGTAATCATCAACTGATAGTGATAATTTTTCTGTTCTTTGTAGATTAAAAAGAGAAGAGCGCGTTGAAAGGCAACAGGACCAGTTGAAAAAGATAACAAACGACATGGACGAGTGGCGGCGAGAACTTTCGGTCTTCAGAAAAGAGGTCAGATGTCCATTAAACCACTTTAATTCAAATTCATTGAAATCTTAATTCTCCTAATGTTTTTCGTACATTTATTAGAATTCCCCAGGGGAGAGTTTGATCTGCCCCTTCCTCCGAAAGAATAAGGCCTTTCGTTGACAGCAATGCTTACTGGGTAACTGTTAGGCACACTGTGTTAAGTTGAAAAGTGGGAATCAGAGGAAAGAAAAACAAAACCCATTAGTTCTATTACGTCGGTATGCGAGTCAAATTTGAACTTGAATTTGAAGTCGTTAAATGATCTCACTTCATCAGAGCAGCTCAATGAATCGTGGCTGGTGTGTGTTTGTTTGTTGGCTACACTCCACCACAGTCCCATAATGTGCTCCGGCTTGCAGCCGGCGTACCCTGGAACAGTACGTGAGTACAGTACTCACGTATATTATCTTGCGTTGTCTGTTCTGTAGAAAGACAAGCGTGCACAAGGCACAGTAAACATGACAGTAGCGTCTAAACAGCAAAAAGTGAAATCACAGCTGATCGCCGAGAAAGAAGAGCATCAGCATAATATGGGAAGGTGAGTATTACCTGCTAGAGTCACTCTGACAAACGGTTATGGTCTATCATTAGGCGGGAACAGTATTTACACCTAATCGTACCTTTTTGGTATAAGCTTCGGGGCATGTCAGGTGAGTTTGGTCGAGCCATGGTTAGTATTTTGGCGAGGCGTGGTCGAGTCAAAATACCCATGGCGAGATCAAACCAGTCTGCTATGCCGCCGAAGGGTACCAAAAAGGTACGATTAGATATTTACCGTACCCAAATTCGGCCAAGTGACCATGATATCGTAGCTATGTTAGGTCAGTGACTTGATATCGCAGGATTTTAGGACAGTAGACACGGCTTCTGATTGGCTAATTACGAATTTGGGTACGGTAACAACAGTGTAGGGGAATCTTTGTTTACAATATTTGCATCCCGAGCACAAGAGATTCAGTTTCTGATCAAGCTACTAAAAGAGCAGTTCCGAATATTTAAAGGACATAACACGATTAACAATCCCAAGGAATTTGAGCCCGATGTATTGAATACCGTTTGTGCAATGCGGGTTCAAAAACTCAAATTTTTCAAAGAATGTATGAGCTCGATCATTGGCGCTTTTGCCACCCAGAAGTGTTGCAACCTGTGAAAACCTTGAAGATTACACCCCACTGCCAAACATTTCACTACATGATTATTATTTGGAGTCGATTCGTATCTGGCATGTCTCCTCTTAGTCGTATGTTAACGAGGAAAAATGTATTAATGACGTCAGCAACGATGGCTCTATATCTCAGCAAGAGACCATGACACACCAATTAAATTTTCTAGCGTGAGCTTTGCTTGGAAATACGTGTTGCTATGGCAAAGTGTTTTGGCTTTTTTCCTGACTGCTGACACAAATCTAAATATTCAGATATGTCACCGTGCTCTGTACAACAATTATAGGCACGGATGACGAGCTTTGGGTGGAAAGTGGATGTGTTTAATGAAGGTTCGCACGGCTTGAATATTACTTAGTCCTTTAATGATTCAGGTAGAGTTTTAACGAATTGAAAGCATTATTTAGACGTGACTGAAATCAAAATTTGGCATTTGTCAGCTGTTTTAACTGATGTCGATTTACAGGGTGAAACAAGCTCTTGAAGAGAGGAAAAGAGAAATCCAGGAAGACATTGAAGTCAAAGATGAACGGAGCAGGATGGTGAATACAGAAAAAGAAGAAATCAGGAGATTGGTGAGTCGAGAAGTGATCACATCAAACATGACCATTCGGCTCTAGAAACCACATGATTAATATAAATCGATTGTTGACATTATTATATTGATTGTTATATATTACGGACTGAATCAGTTTTTCCTTTTTGTTACTTTTGAAATTAATTTTCATTTTGTCATTTGCAGAACCGTGATGCTGCTCGCACATCTCAGGCCGTGAGGGACTTGGTTAGAGAACAGACACTAAGAAGGTAACAAAAACAACAGCCGTTTGTACTTAGTCAGCACTCTTGAATTATTTCGACATTCGCAGAATTGTAAAATTCGATAATGAATGTTTTCAGAGCAACTCAGGGTAATATATGTTGTTTGTCGGCGGGAGGTCTAACTTTACCGAGGTCTTGAGGGCAAAGTTTTTTTCGATACCGACCAAAGCCGGCACACGACGTTTTAATTTTTTTTTTTTTTATTGAAACTTCCAAAATTTATATTCGGAAAGATTGTGAAATCGCAAAACTAGGCCGAGTAAAAAAGCCGTCGCACTCAAGAGCGAGGACAAAAAGGTTTCCAAAAGAGTTTCATTATCCGACTCCATGTCTGTTTACTTCTGTGTGGAGTGCGGGGTCCGTGTCGTGAAAAACTGCATAATTTAGAATGCACGAAGATAAAATATATTAATATGTATTTGACATCCATTTAACTTAGTTTTGTTTTGGTATAACGTCCTGAGCACATGTGTACAAAACTACGCACGGTATCAGTTTCTCTCCAATGGGAGGAAAAAAACAGCCAAACAACGGCTGAAAAGTAAGCTTACAGTTCCCATAGCGTATGAACTATCTTGAAAAAAAAATGTCCCTTCTATGAAATTGTGAGTTTGATTTGTAATTTTTTTTTTTTTTTTTTGTTAGTTCATTTGACAGGATGGCAGAGACAGCACAGCACCAAGCTCTTGTAGGGCGTGGTCCGCAGACAGGACACAAAAATAAATCTAGTGTCAGACTGGGATGATGTGCACTCTTATAAGCATTAGTTAGGTGTGGTTTAGAATAGAATATTTGGCAAGCAAAAGTCTATAAATTAATTTAAAGTAATGAACTAGGTTTACTGTGTCAAACAATTACAGTTTAGGTATTATTTATCATCCAGAACTCATACGAAACGCGTACATTTGTTCCATTCACAGAGAGTAGTTATTTTTAACTGTCTTGCGCGGTGGTCTGTCAATAATGTGAATAAAACTTACACCATTCACGACTTGTTTTATTGCCTCTGTCCTTGTCGTACAATCGACACCCCTGGGCCACACCTCTGTTTATCGGTCCGAATCCTTTTACAGTAATGGAGCGGAACGCTTATTTTGTAAACGAAAACAAACGTTTGCAGTCGATATTCGTCCACCAACATGTTATCGAAATGACTCCTGGGGCCCGTTACTCAAAGGTCCCGAAAAGTTTTCGCACCCGGAAAGCCGTAGCAAAATCTCAAACCTTCTGATTACAGAGCTGTTTTATTTATATATTCGTAATATGACCAGAAGTCCCTTCATACAAGAAGTTTCAGGTGTATGCACCTTTCTGTTTTTAGATACAGATTAACTGAAAATGGCTTTGCGGACCCGAAAAGTTTCCGGGGCTTTCGAGAAACAGGCCGGAAACATTCTATTTCTGAACCAACATTCGGTGACATTCTTTTGAGGAGGAGGGCAAAGACCTGTCATGGTGGGTGCCACCAACAGCAATGAATAGAGGTTCTGTTTATGAATTTAGTCATACTGAAAGCTAAGGATAGAAATGACTCGATTTTAATGCAATTCTTTAGCCTACCTCTCCGATGCCACAAAGCAACATTTTGTGTGTTCTTTTCAGTGCTCCTTCAAGCGTTTTGTTATTTTGCGATAAATTTTGAGGTCCCTTGTGTAACGTGTAGCGTCCTGTTTGTTTTGGTTTCTATTTGGCATTCCATCGTGCATCTCTTTTGCGTTCCCTGAGGTCCTTTTGGCGTTCTTTTTCGCGTTCCGTTTTGTGCTCCGCTTTACGTTTCAGTCTTGAGTTCCCTCTTGTGTTCTCTCAGTGTTCGGTTCAGATTTTGCTCCCTTATCGTTGCCTTGTATGTCAGTTTCCATTTTTGTTGCGCATTTTTGATGTACAGTAGCCTGAGGTTTCACACCCAAGAGAGTTAGCACCCACGAAGTTCACACCCACATCGATTCAACTAGTGATCAAGTGCTTAGAATTTCTCTTTCTCTTGCCGAACAAAAATGACAACATAGTGGGCATAATGAAACAAAATCACACAAAACATGTTTATGTCTCGTTCTTTAATCCATTGAAGGTGAAAGTGAACTCAAAATAGATAGTTTAAAATGTGCTCAGGGATGCGAACTCGGTGGGTGTGAACTCGATTGGGTGCGAAACAGCTACTCCCTACTGTAATCATTTTCTGTTCCCTTTTGCGGTCCGTCTCCGTTCTCTATTCCACATCTTTCTGTGTTCCGCTTTGAGTTCTGCTGCTGCATTTCCTTTCGTTATCCTAATATTCCATTTGGCGTTCATTTTGCGTTTCGTTTCGTGCCTCTTTTTGAGTTTTCGCTTCCTTTTTGCTGCTTGTTCCGTCTTAAGTTCCGCCTTGCATTACGTTTTGCGTTCTTCTTTCTCCTTGAAATGCAGAGCATCCACAAGATGTAGTATGCAAATGAACCACACCCAGTCACTCGTATTAAACCGGAACCTCGATTGGCTGCAGCTGAAGTAAGCGTCTCTAGTAAGCAAAGTATCTCAAGGAAGCCAAGCTTCTCTAATCTCAGCAACTGAAGTAAGTCAAGCATGTCAAGTAAATTAAGGAGCTGAAGCCAAGTACCTCAAGTAAGCTAAGCGACCTCAAGTAAGCCATGCAACCAACTCCAGTAAACCAAGCGCCTCACGTGCCGTGAATCCTCGAATTAGCGCCTCCCTCAAAGAAAGCGCCCCCCTCGAATAAGCGCCCCTCCTATCGGCCGAAATGCAAAATAACTGCCTCCCCGATACCCTCAAACAAGCGCCCTCTCCCCTTTCCCCTGTTTTATGGTCGAGTACTGAGACAACAAAGGTTGTATAGTATTGGTCACAAGCAAGTGATTAGCGACTCATTCAAACAGTACACATTGAACGTCGCAACGGACGGTAGTGAAGATCCTTTGATTTATTGCCTACAGCTCAACCAACCTTGTGCAGCAGGCCTAGCGCGGCTCCCGTGGGGGGGGGAGGGCACTGCCATATATGGGCTATATAGGCATGTGCCGCTGTGAAGGGTATGGTTTTCAAGCAGTTTACTCTAGGATAGGGTATATAAATCAGAGCGTTTGGGTCTAGAATAGGGTATCATTTTTCACAAAACTGACTGGTTGGTTGGAGATTTTATCTAGAGTAAGGAAACCAGAAATTGCCACCCAAAAATATAAAAAAATCAAATCGGCAAGTTTAAATGTACGCAAATCAGCCTCATCAGTGTCTATAGATGGGGGGATTTGGGGAGTTTACTCTAGTACAGGTTAGCAAAATTCAGCTGAACTAGCTCTGGTATAAACTAAGGGTTCCAGGGTCCCAGCGGCACATCCCCACCCAGAAATTCCCAAAGTACCCCCACCCCCGGGGACCGGCTAAAGGGGTTATATCGGGGGTTATATTACGAAGTTCTTCAAGAGACAGGATCCTTCTGACCGATCATATCTGACCACAATATTTGGGGAAAATAAAATAAGCGTCCCACCTCGAATAAGCGCCCCTCGTCTTCTCTTGTTTTTGAAATAAGCACCCCAGGCGCTAATTCGAGGATTTATTACAGTCATTGCATGCTCAAGTAAGCTCGCTGTGTCTAATTTCGTTTCATCTCGTCATCGGGCGAAACGACTAACTTCCGGTTGTGTGACGCCCTGTTATTGTGTGCTCATCACCTAATCTTTTATGAGTTGAAAGCTGACATCAACAAGATAGTTTGATTCGAAAAGGTGCGTGTTCGGTAGTCCGCCGCTCCATTTGTCTTACTGACGTCTTCTCACTTTCAGGTAAGGTTAACTTAGGCTACTGAATCTTTAATTTAAAACTCTTCATAACGATGTCGAATCCCCGATGTCTCAGCTTGTGTCGATACTTTATTAAAAAGGTTTATTCAAATGTTCTATACCAAGATCACTGGTTATAAAGATGGCGTTCGTTTCATAGATTTTATGATAAAGATTTTTTCTCTCCCGTTCACCTGAACAAGTAGCCGCCGATAAATATCTATTGTTTATTAATACGACTCGGTACAAATATCGAAGAGCTACGGTGAGAGCTATTAACCAGAACATGAAAATCAAAATATGGAAACTATAGTCATCCGGCCGTAAGATGAAAGTAAACAGCCGGGGTATCGTAAACTTGTAACCATTATTGAGAATATTGTAGCTCGTGGCAAACATACATGATATTTGAAAACCTTTGGGAAGATTGTTACATTGTAAATATATCCTCGAAACCCCGAAAAAATCCTCAAGTGAATACCATCAAGCTTACTTCCAGTCTTTACTTATTTGTGTTAACTGGAGGCCATTAGAATATGTGAGATGGCAGTGTATTTTATTTATGTCAAATAATTTTTGTTTTTTCATAGTACCTCGTTTCAAAGTAAAAAGATGACAATGATTATCAGTTAAGTAAGGGAAGACGGAGCTTTGGTGACAAAGTTTTAGATTTAAAATAACGGTGTTGCCTCGGGCAACTTTCCTCGTTTCCAGTGGTAACAATATTGACAAAAGTTGCCACTGGAAACGGAACCAGCAGCTCGTGACAACAGCACAAGTTGAACATTAAAACCTGGTCACCAAACTTTCGTCACGCGTTACTAAACTGAGAATCGTAGTATGTAAATACGTTGAAGTATGGTTTTGCCGTTGTCTCAAAACCACACGATCCATTTCTGACCAAAACAAAACAGAATGCTGCGTTATATGGTATTTTATACTGTGCATAGAACATACAGCCAATCAGAATACAGGAAAGCCATTGCATATTCAACGGTATTACAACCAACCTCCTTCTCATCGTGCACCACTGTATTTTCTATGGCTTTGTATAAAATAGTTATGTAATGCTTTCTCATGGAATACCCTGGAATATCTTACTTGCCCCTTTGCTTTTACTTGGCGTAGTCACACTTGACTAAAGGCATGTGTGTATACCAAGAAAATACAAGTGACCTGTGGCATATTATATGGTATACCACTCAAAAGCGTTGCATACATGATACATGTATAAACTAGTATTTTCTTTTTGCTCTGGATAAACTGCATGTTCCCATCCTATCCCATCCTATACAGCCAAGTGCCCAAACCTCAAAAGTGATTTTGGTCATCAAACACTTGATCACATTTAAAAATGTTTCACATGTACCTCTATATTGACCACAGTCGAACGACAGAAATTCAACCCCCCCCCCCCCCCCCCCCCCCC